ACAACGCCCGGCTATTTTTTGGTTGCAGCCGTCATTGTTGTTTGGCGGGTCCGGGCTGGGGATTCGAACCCGCTACCTTAGGTGTATGTGGCTGGCGCCTTAGCCGGTTGAGCTATAGGCGCAGAGCCTAATTTTAATGAAGTCTAGCTTGTCAGTTCTTTCTTTCATGGAGCACATCTCTGGTGTCATATCTTTTACCTACTAATTTTTATTTTTCTCTGATGTTTAGGTTTGTGTCTCAGTCTACTAAGGAAGCCTACGTGATCTCTCTCTATATTAACAACCCGTTACTCATTGGCGGCAGGAAGTTTGATCTGCGGTTGTATGTTCTGGTGTCCACATATCGCCCGCTGCGCTGTTACATGTAAGGGGCCTTCAGGTTTCGTTTCCCTTCTTTTTTTTTTTTATTGCCACCGAAAGATGATAATTTATTGTTTTACCATGACCCAGAAGAGAAACAAGATAAAGAGAATATTCATTACAAATCCCCACAATTTCCTCCCTAGCCTCACTACTCTAACATTTGTCAAGATGCCACTGGCCTCCTAAGATGGACCATTGGCTATAAATTGTGCATTAATTTTATTTTGTTGCCATTTCGTTTATGATTGAAATTTTAGATTGCAAGGCTTCAAATTATTAATTTCAATAGGAGTTCTCTAACTTAAAAAAAAAAAAAACACTTTCCTCTAAGATTCCATTATTTATTGAAAGGAGACTTCCTAGAAATATTAATGAGGATTTTAAATGGATGTTTCCCTTCTTAAGACTGTGTTTTAATCTAGTGCTTCTTACCTGTGGACAGCATCATAAAGTTTAGTAAAACTGTCTATGGTGCCGCCACAGGCTAAGTATTAAGGAAATAAGAGCAGTCAGCCTGGAGCTAATGTGAGTCTTACAAATAACAAAGCCACTCTTTACGGAGCACGGAGTGGTATGTTTTATTTGTGTTTTTCCTCAGACTTTGAATTAATCTGAATTCCTGCACAGGTACAAGCTTGGGTTTTGCCGGTTTTGCACCGTGAAGTACACCCCCAGCACCAGTGAGCTGGATAACATGTTCGTCCATCTCACCAACGTCGCCATTCAGAAACACGGGGTGAGCGTCTCGTCATTTGTGCCACCAAAATGGGCTGACTTTGTGGGTTTATTTTTTTGTTTTTGCCAGCACTGGGGGGACCGGAAGGCTCTAAGCCTCAGTGTGGCTGTCCTGGGTACCTCAGCTAGATACCAGCTTGGGATGGGGTGGGGGAAAATTCAAGCCCTACTTTTCTAGTTCTATGACCTTGGGTAAGTCAGTTCCGCCGTCAGAGCCTCAGTTTCTCCTTTTGTTAAAGGAGATTATCACCTGCCAGGGTTGTTGGGAGGATTGCAGGAGATGGTTTATATGCCTAGTCATTCATCCAGGCTACAAGTACAGACCGTCCCTGACTTGCGATGTTGGACTTAAAAGTTTTCACTTTACGATGGTACAAGAATTTAAACCATTTGATGGAAACCATACTTCAAGCACCCACACAACCATTCTGGTAATCACTTTCCGTAAATCACACAAGAGTCAGCACTTTATTGTTAATATAAAACAAGGTTTGTGTTGAATGGTTTTGCTCAACTGTAGGCTAACATGAGAGTTCTGGGCACATTTAAGGTAGGCTATGCTGAGCGCTGATGTTTGGAAGATTGGGTCTATTTTTGTTGTTGTGTCTTTTATTTTTTTTCTTTTTTTGAGACAGAGTCTCACTCTTTTGCCCTGGGAGAGAGTGCAGTGGCGTTATCATAGCTCATAGCACTCTCAAACTCCTGGGCTCAATTGATCCTCTTGCCTCAGCCACCAGAGTAACTAGAACTATAGGTGCCCACCACAATGCCCAGCTAGTTTCTCTATTATTAGTAGAGACAGTGTCTCACTTTTGCTCAGATGGTCTCAAACTCCTGAGCTTAAGGGATCCACCTGCCTCAGCCTCCCAGAGTGCTGGGATTACAAATGTGAGTCCACCACGCCTGGCTGGAGAGATTAGGTCTATTAAGTGCATTTTTGGCTTATGATATTTTCAATGTGTGATGGGTTTATGAAGGCATAGTCCATCGTAAGTTGAGAAGCATCTGTACTCATTGAGCATCTGTGTGAGTTGGTGCCACTCTAAGGTAGGTACAGTAATGGGCAAAAACTACCTTGGTAG